CCTAACAAGCTTGAGCGTGTGAAGTGAGAGAAAGAGCCATCTTGAGCCATTTGTTGTGATTTTGCTAAGGAGGAGAGGTGATCCAGCAAGAAGGACAAGAGGAGGTTGTTATTCTGAGACATTCAAGCAAGGAAGCTTCACTTTGAGGTAGCAATTCGACCCTTCCCTTCTATATTGTGTAGACTTCTTGAATCTAGGGTTTCTTTACCCTTTCTTGAGTTGGAATAAGAAGCATGAGGAGTCCCAGAGTGGAATAGACCTTAGATCTGGACCTTGAATGGTCCAGAGAGTCCCAATCGTCCAACTTTATGCAGTTCCATTGGAGTTTTGAATCTTGGTTGTCATATTAAGAGCTAATTCATCAAATAGAGCCATATGAGTGTTGCATGAGCATAAAGATTGGACATTTACGTGACTTTTGAGTGTTAGAAGGTCAGATCTATAAGTTAGAGAAATAGATCTGACCTCAGGAGGTCGAATGAGTATGGCCATGGAGGAAACTCGTCGAGTCCATGAGAGAACTCGATGAGTCGGATCGGGTTGCCCCGTGATTCGTGACCAGTGGTAACCCGTCGAGTTGGGAGGTTAACCCGACGAGTCGAGTGATGCCTTAGAAGGATTCAGAGGATACACATGAACTCGCCGAGTCCCACGAGTGCACTCGGTGAGTCTGGTCAAAGTTGGACCGTTGACTGAGTTGACTTTCGTTGACTTTTAGGGTTTGGTCAACATTTGGACTTTTGGGTCTTGGAGGGGTAAAATGGTCTTTTACCCTTTTGAGGGTTTATAGGGGGGATTAATCTAGCCTTTAAGAGCCGTTGTTACTTATAGGAAAAAAATTTATGTGATTAGGCGGAGGCTAGATCAGTATTTCGAGTTCGAGATTATCCGAGTTACCCGAGGTGAGTCTTCTCACTATACATTACCTAGAGTGATACATATGTGCAGACCGGAGGGTCTTATGTGTTATGTGTATGTATGAGATTATGTGCCTTGTGATATATGTATGCTATGCGATATTAGACCGGGCCGGAGGGTCCAACGATTTAGACCGGGCCGGAGGGTCCAACGATTTAGACCGGACCAGAGGATCCAATGAGCTAGACCGGACCGTAGGGTCCAACGAGCTACGGGACTGGAGGGTCCTACTGAGACACATTGACCGGAGGGTCTTACCGAGTTATAACCTCAAGTGGCTTATGTGTTGTATGTGGTATTTTGGGGAACTCACTAAGCATTTATGCTTACCGTGTTATGTGATATGTGTTTCAGGTACTAGCGAGGATCGCGGGAAGGCGCCGACATGATGTGTACACACTGGCAGAAGAGTTGTTTGAGATTCTGGGATTTGTTATTATTATGACATTTGACATTTATGATATTTTGAGAACTATTATATGAGTTATGTTTGTTTTAAAAATGAAAATTTGTTTTAAATTTTCACGTCGATACATTTAGGGACTTATAAGGCCATGATAACGTTTTTAAGCTTGCATGGGGCTTCCATGGTCATAAAGTTTGCACCTTTATGCCATGAAACCCCTTCTAGATCCCAAATCTGAAAGGTAAGCCACTTGGGACGTCCATGTCCCAAAGATCAAGATTCTTGAACAAAAACCCTCTTAAAATGGACATAAGGAGATCTAATGAACTAATAGACAAGATAGAGACTTGATTACCTGAAAATGTAGCCAATGAAGTGTAGTTTCTGGATCTACTCTCTTCCTCTGGAGCCCTCTAGCCTTCTATTCTTCCACGAGCTTCAAAAGCACACAAAGATCACTCAAATTGGCTCACAACTTCAAACAAGGCACTAGGGTTTCATGGATTAGGGTTTGGACAATGGAGGCTGTAAATGAGGGCAGGGTGTGGGTTAAGGATGTTTAAATAGGTTACAAAACCCGGATTTAGGGTTTCTCAAACCCAGACCAACTCGTCGAGTAGGTCCCTCCACCCACGTCCTAATCTTATTTCTACTCGTCGAGTCATTCCCCTTGGACTCAACGAGTAGACCTTCAAAATGCAAAGTTTCTTTCCTTCATTAGTACTCCAGATTCCGGGTGTTACAACTCTCTCCCACTTAAACTAGACTTCGTCCTCGAAGTCTTCTGCGGTTACTTATCTCGGATACTTCTCACGCGTCACGCCCTCGGCTTCCGCTATCTATCCCGGACTAATTGATGCTTCTCATGGGACACATTAGTCAATTTGAACTATCCTGAATGCTCACAAGAATTCTTATACAACGCATAACCTTGTCTGCTCAGTCCGATCCCCGAAAGGACAGCTACACTTGGCATCCTGAGGGTCCAACCATTACCATGCGCAGTTGATGGCCTTCCCAAGGCAACTGTACATAAGAAACAAAACCTTCTTCTATATCTATGAAGGATAAATCCTCCACCGCAACTGAATCCCAGCCACTCCCAGTGCCAATCATTTCATCGTTACCCACTGAATGCTTCCACTTACTATGTCCAGATGCTGAACGCTCAACTCAGCGTGTAAATCAGATAATCCTTCGAGTAAAAGATTCGTCCCTGCAACGGTTAGACTCAGACGAGAGCTGCGCAACAGAGTCAAACCCTTTACTCTGAGATTATTTAATCCTGTTGTGAGTGACTTAGCATCTCCCAGTCAATTAACTGCTCCACACAATAATTCTCTTATCACTACTTGTCCGAAGATCCTGCTATCTCTTATCCGCTTTCCGGATGAACCGAGACCACCCTGGTCCCAACTGATCTGTTATTATCTGGAATACCGGACTCCCACCCGGTTGTTGAACTAAAGAACACCTTCTCAGTCGCTCCCAGCGATTTCCAAAGAAAACTTCGGCTATCGAGAACTACCCCATCTACATTGCCGCTTGGCTATCTGATCTTGGGATCCCCGATCCCCTACTTTGACACTATGGTCTCTGCTAGGTCCCACCTGCATTGCTATAATCGTACGGGCCTCGCCCATGGGTCTCACCCAAACCGTACTATGGAGCGGCCTTTCCCATAGGTCTCACCTATCTAGGGCTACACAGGTCCAACTCCACCTCGAACCTCAGCGAACTATCTTTTCCTGATTTCTATCATGCTGACTAGGAGATACGGGCCTCGCCCATACTCCGCTAACTAGGAGATACGGGCCTCCGCGCACACTCCGCTATTTAGGATGCTAATGAATGCTACGGATATCCTGCAGTCTTACAACACCTTCCACGTTGTCTGGCTGTTGGTGAATGCTACGACTATCCCGCAGTCTTACAACACCTTCCACGTTGTCTCAGCCGCTGACTACCAATCCGAAACATCCAATGTCGAGCGCTCACGCAGTCTAACATCCCGACTAACTCGCGTCCTGCTGGGAATTTTCCAACCGAGTTTCCCAACACCAGCTATCAACTATCGTGACTACACGAACTCAACGTTGGGAAGCTTTCCAAACTCCCAACTCACGCACTGCCCTATCCAAACAACCACCTGGGCCGCTTTCCTTCCCAACGAGAATACGAACTCATCCCAGTTTCGCATCCAATTCTGTTCCTGACTACTTGGACGATTCTCCCCCACTTCGATTCGTCTAGATTTTTCTCTTTCTCTTCTACAGAGGCTCAGTATCGTGCTTTGGATGTTACTACTTGTGAGATTATTTGGTTACAATGACTTCTTGTAGATATGGGTGTTGTTATTTCTCAGTCTACCCTCTTACATTGTGATAACAACATCGCGATACAGATTGCAAAGAATTTAATTTTCCATGAGCGGACAAAACATATTGAGATTTACTGTGTTCCACTCGACATCATTTTCAGTTTGGAACCATCTCGCTTCCACAAGTACCATCAACTTTACAAATTGTTGATATTTTTACGAAGTCTCAGTCGGTGTCTCGCTTTCAGTTCTTAACCGACAAAATCTAAGTTCTTACTGTTATCGCCTTGTGAATTTGAGGAGGAGGGGGGTGGGGGGATATTATCATAATATAGTTCTAGGCTTATGTTATATTGGACCTTTTTGTCTAGCCATTTAGTTAGGTTAACCCTAGATAATTTTCCTATATATAACTATCTTTCCTTTGTACTGTAATTATATTCTTCTTTCATAATAATTAAACTCTAGCAATCTTTTGTCTCTACTATTTATTGGCCGCACTTGTATTTCCCGTTACTCTTTAACATCAACAAACAATGGAATGTAAGAAGCATATACGAAAATCAGGTAGAGATTAACTAGTTTTTGGGCATTAGGACAAAGATCACAAAATGTAAAGAAATGATATAGTTAGAATCACGTTAATGAAAGACGTGTAGATTATTACTCTTGATGTAGCCCCAAACATTCTTCACGTCTGTTTGAGAAAGTTTAGATATGCCGAGGAATTCTCCAAATGTTGGGATAGTTGCGTGGAATAACTTTGAGAATACTGGCGTAGAGGCCACACCCGGGTGCAACGTTGGTGGTGGTGGTGGTGTAGCTGTTTGCAGCCTCCATCAAAACTCTACAACTTTGACTAGTATCCCGAAGCAACCATGTCATTTTTCGTTTTTTGCTCCTTGTAGAATTTCTTGATTTTCTCAAAACACTTCAATAAAACCCAACACTCTGACAAAAATGGAGAGAAGGCTAGTACCACTACTAGAAAAGGCGAGCTTTTCCAATAGAAATCACCGATGGAAAAATTGCGTCATAACACGGACGGAACAACAACATAATTGGGAGCCGTAATTTAGTGACACATTTTTTACGAAATAATGACGAAAATTGGTATTGTCAAAAATCCGTCTGATGAATACCGGCGTAAACCAATAGATTTTACATAGGGTGACACAAATCTATAGGAAACATAAATCTGTGACAAGGTTTGAACTAAAACAAATGCTATGTATGGATGGGTGGGGGGAGTCAATTTTCCTCTCGACCAAATGCCTCGTCCAGTTTTAATAGCTTTCCACATTTTTGTAGATATAGACACACAAATTCTACCATATAAATTGGATGTTACACGTATTAGAACGACACCAAAGATTCAATATAACGATGAACATGCATGTGTCCGGTTCGTCCATATAAATAGATCTGGTCAGAAATCTGCTTGAAACTCTTTTCCACAATATTGTACCTTATGACCTTCCCTGGAACTCTGATCACCATAAATGTTTCATCTTCTTCTTCACCCCGAACCACATCAAACACTTCAAATTCGTAATAAATTGGGCTCGACATATATGGAAAGCCTTCCCTCATCTCCGGATAAGCATCCAGAAGCTCATCAAGCTCGACTCGATACTTGAGAAACCACCCCGAATGATCGTTCAACATCTCGTACACATTCAGGTGTAAATGGCTCTCACTGCGATCGGCCCTCTCCACCAAATGCAGATGGCCTCGCGACTCCCCAAAGTAAAGTGTCATATCCCAATCTTCATAACCTTCGGAAGACGCCACCGACACAGGCAAGGGAAGCGATTTAAATTCTTCCGTGTCGACCTTAAAGTACGATCGATTGTCACCAAAGGGAACCCAGTGTATAGCTTGATTCCAATAAACTATGTAGTGGAAGGGTACAAAATAAGGATGAGGTAAAGAAAAAGATTCATCTGAAATCTTCCATTTCCCTGTATAGGAGGAGTAGATTTGAATCTTAAACACATCGTCCAGGTTAGGAAGGTAAAAGCAAACAACCTTGTAATGAACACAATCTGTTTGATGAAATGCCAGAGCCATAAAAATGATGGTTTTACGAACAGCCATGCCTCCTAGAACTGATGGGAGGACTGCAAATTGCTTGGAAGTGGGATTAAATATGTAATATTTATGCATTCGTTCGTCCCCATCATAGGTGCGACAAAGCAGTAATCCGTTACAAGATTGCACGATTCTAATACCACGAGGATCAGGATAGAAGTCAAGATTATGAAAAGGAGGAGTGTTTATGATCTCGTTGTCAAATGGAATATACAAATTGCGAGCAAAAAAACCAGGAGAGAAGGAAGCATTTTTATACAGTAGGGTAAAACGACGGTGACTCAAAAGGGAACGCCAGTGTTTGGATACAGATTTGAATCGAAGAACAGAGGTAACAGGCAATCGGAGAAGGATTTCAATTAAAAGATCGTCGTTGGAACCGATCAGAGCTCCAGACTCAGTGGCCAGATGATTGGTGTCGGCCATGGCAGCCTCCGAGAACCAAAGGTTTATGGTGTTCTGGATTTTCTTGATTTTGGCTCTCGTGTTCACCATATTTAAGGTGTTCTTTTTTATGGTGAAAGATTGTCAGGAAAGCTGATGAGTAAAAATAAAAGAAGATTGCCATGGAAGCTTAGTCCAAAACTTGGTTGACGTTGACATGAGTTTGTCCCTATCATGTGGTTGACAAAAAATTATATGGTTTTCATTATTGACATTTAATCGCACTGTAATATCTGTTTGTACTTTTAATGTTACAATAAAATGTAGATTATTTGTGTATTACTTTTTCTTTTAATTGAAATATAAATAAAGTATCGTTTTTATCTAGATTATTTGTGTATTACTTTTTCTTTTAATTGAAATATAAATAAAGTATCGTTTTTATCTGACCCGATTTCTTTTATCATTTTGAGTTTTAACTCGACCGGTCCCCCAATATGAAAAATATAGGATCTTGGCTACGGATTTACAAGTTTATTTTTTCTTTAATTTTGGAACTGTTTGTCGGTTTCCAAAGTTATTCTTGAAATTCCATGACAGTTTTATTTTTTGGGTCCAAAATCCGGATTTAGTTTGTTGTGATTGATGTCAAATGTAGAAACTAACACAACAAGAGGGCGGACAACAATCGACTTTGATTTTGTGGAACATCATAAAACACGATTTTATATTCTAATAGTTATTCCCCATCAAGGCAATTGCTCTCATTGGTATTGCTGTAAGTCTTCATATTCTAATGAACTTTTCCCCATTCTTTTTATCAGTTAACATAATAAACAGCACATTCACTCATTCAATTCATTTAGAAACAATTATGGAGAATCTTCGTATATATAACCTTTGTTTATTTCATCAATTGAAGTTTCTGTATGGGCATATATTGATCATTGGGCAAAAGACGCTATTCCCATTTGGGAACTAGGATGTTGGCATGGACATTATAGTTGTTTGTGAGTGTTAAAGGAAAACTTTAGGATTTTTTGTCATCTTAAAATTAAAGGGTGTGCATCTGATTTATGATCACCTTAATAACTAATATGCATCTTTCCTTTCTCTGTTACGCAATTGCATTTTAGAAGTTTGGAATCATGGATCAGTACTACATCCATGTAAATGCCCTGTTTTTCGTTGCCACATTACTTTGTTGGTGACTAACCAAGCTTCCTCTCAGTAATTTGATAACCATGAAGCTTCTGAGATTCTAAGAAAGATCGAAGAATTATGTTTTTCACCAATAATAGAAACACACTTATCTTTTTAACAAATAATAGCACCATACTTATTTTCTGTAACTAATAATAAGAATTTACTTATATTTTTAAGCACTAATAGCAATATACTTATCTTTTTAATAAATAACAACAACGTTCTTATCTTCTTTACCCAATAATATCACCATAATTCATATTTTATACAACATTAGATACATACTTATCTTTTCAAAAATATTAATGATATGGTTATTTTTTTAGCTAGTAATAGCAACATACCTATCTATTAATCAATAATAACAATATACTTATCATTTTAACTAACAATATCAACATACTTATCTCTTTAATCAAAAATTAATAAAACTAAGATCAAATCTGAATTCATATTTTCATGAAAAATGCGATTACAATGGGAGCCTTTTATAATCAAGGTATCCTTATCAGATAAGGAAGCCAGCTATACTAAGATAACGATAATCTTGTTCAACAAGAAATAATCAAAAGATAATGACATAAATTTAAATCTCAACACTCCCTCTCAAGTTGGACTGTGAAGATCACGAACTCCCAACTTGCTGCATAAGAATCTAAATCGATCTGCTCCCAATGCTTTTGTGAGCACGTTTGCCGTTTGAAACTCGGAACGAATAGGACATGGTTTTATTTCTCCATTGTCTACTCGCTCTCTAACAAAATAACAATCCATCTCAACATGCTTGGTCCGTTCATGATAAACTAGATTAACTGCGATGTGTCGAGCTACATCATTGTCACACATCAAAGGAGTAGGACCCTTTTGAGTAGCATCGAAATCTTGCAAGAGCCACCTTAACCAAACAACTTCACAAACAGTACTAGCCATGGACCTATATTCTGCTTCAGCTGAAGACCTAGCAACAACACTTTGTTTCTTTGTGCGCCAAGAGATAGGAGAACCTCCCAAGCTAATGAAATAACCTGTGCAAGATTTTCTGGTGGATGGACAGCTTAGCCAACTAGCATCACAATATGCCATCAATTCAAGATTCCCTGATGAAGGCAAAAATAGACCTTGGCCTGGTGTGGTTTTAAGGTAACGAAGTACCCGATATGCAGCATCCATATGTGTTTTTCGAGGTTTAGCAAGAAACTGACTTAATTGGTTTACAGAAAAAGTTATGTCAGGACGTGTAACTGTGAGGTAAAGCAATCTTCCTACTAACCGTCTATACCTGGAAGCATCAACCTCCGAGCTGTCATCGTCTTTATGAAGTTCTAAATTTTGTTCCATAGGAAAAGAACTAGGGCGACTCCCTTCAATTCCAGAGTCCTTCAAAATATCCAAAGTGTACTTGCGTTGACTAATAACAAAACCTTCAGCCGATCTGGCCACCTCAATGCCAAGAAAATATTTTAACGGTCCTAAATCTTTAATGCTAAATTGTGTTTGTAAGTATGCTTTCACCTCATTGAGTCTTTTATCATCATTCCCCATCAAAAGAATGTCATCAACGTAAATAAGTGCAACAAGATGTATTGAGCCTTTCTTGAAGATGAACATGGAATGGTCAGCCTTAGATTGCCTAAAACCATTGCTCACAAGTGCCTTCGTGAATTTTTGATACCAATTTCTAGAAGCTTGACGCAACCCATAAATGGATTTGTGTAGTTTGTAGACCCGATCTCCACTCGTTTTGTTAAAACCTTGAGGAATTGTCATGTAGACCTCCTCATCTAAGTCACCATGTAAGAATGCATTGTTTACATCCATTTGGTGAACAAACCATTTCCTTTTAGAGGCGACCGCTAAGGCACATCGAACTGTTACCAATTTTGCAACTGGTGCAAATGTCTCATGGAAATCTATTCCTTCAATCTGCGTATATCCTTTAGCCACTAGTCGTGCTTTGTAGCGCTCAACTTGACCATCTGGTTTATATTTAATCTTGTATACCCATTTCGAGTCAATAGGTTTCTTTCCTGGTGGCAGCGAGGTAAGAACCCAAGTTCCATTTTCTTCAAGGGCCTGGATTTCTTTGCACATAGCTTTACGCCAATTTGGATCTGTAACAGCTTGAGAAAAATTTTTAGGCTCATCATGAGACGTGATGGCCGCAAGATAAGCTTGATGAGGTTTAGAAAATTTATTATAAGAGATAAAATTAGAGATCGAATGTACCATGGAGGAGGTAGAGGAACCTGAAGTGGGAATGGTAGTGGAGTCCGATGTAGGAACGTTGGAGTGATGATCAAGAGATGGTGGCAGGTCTGTGACGAATTCGTTTAGATGTTTCGGTTTGCTTTTGGTCCTGGTATTTCTCCAGTTTTCTTGTTGAAGTGTTCGCTCAACCTGGTCTGGAGCTCTGTCACGAGACGAAGAGTTTGTCTCTTCATGATTTGTAACGACATCCTGATCACGATTTTGGTTGTTATTATCACGATCAGATCCATTATTTGAGTCAGACGATTCATCAATGGAGTCAATTTGAACTTCAGGTTCAACTTGCTTCTCGAAAGTTTGTAAACTTTTATCCAAATCGTCGACTTCCATTTGCATTATGTTCATATTTTCTGGAAAGCTTGTGTTATCCACATTCTTGTTGATCTTGTAATCATTTCTAAACGGAAAAATATGTTCAATGAAAGTGGCATTGCGACTGATGTAGGTCCTTTCTTCCTTTATGTCAAAGAATTTGTATCCCTTCTGACCCATTGGATAGCCCAAAAAAACACAAGGTTTGCCCCTCTCACCAAATTTGTCTCGTTTCCCAACGCTGTCATGCACATAAGCGAGACAACCGAATACTTTGAGGTGGTCATATGAAGGAATTTTTCCAAGAAGCATTTCATACGGAGTCTTGCTTTCAAGAACTTTTGTGGGCAGCCTATTAAACACTTTTATAAAAGAAAATGTTTCTAAGTTTTTCGAAAACGTGCCAAAATGGTAAGCAAGGTTTAAAATGGTTTATATGCCCTTAAAAGCACATATATCCATTGAAATGGATTTGAAATGAAATTAAAATAGCAATGTTAAAACCAATATTGGTTAAATTGAGTTTTGAAGAAAAGTGTTAAGTTAAAGCAAGTTGTAAAAAGATTTTTAGCAAGAATATCGCTTACATTGTTAGGAAATGTCTAGTAAGTTGTATGAAGTGGTTATAAAGTATTTTATAGATGATAAATAAAACCGATGAAACGAACTAACTTTTTGATGGAAGATTAAGAAATAAGGAATAAGTATGTTAGTGTAGCTGATCGTACCTAAATACTAAGGCGAGTACAAGGCAAGTCTAAGGCGAGTACCAGTGTCTTTTCCCCAAGATAAAGAACAAGAAAAAAAAATTATTTGAAAACCGTTTTATGGTGTCAATGCAGTTTCACAGCCTTTTATAGAGGTCAAAGGGACATCCTATGTTAAGTTTTAAGCTCAAGGTGGAAACAACGTAGAGCTAAATCGTAGCATATTAATAAGGTCTCACGTATGGGTAGCAATGGGTTAAACCTCTGTGTCTCCTCGTGAGTCGAATCTGGAATGTCCGCTAATGGTATCCAAGTGATTACTTAGTGGCGACTCATCTACCTCCTTACGCGATGCTCCAATTATCATTCGTGTCGGTATCGAAACGCTTTTTCCTAGTTGTAACTCTAGTACGAAGACGATGAAGAGGTATTGAGGAATAATTGGTATAGGTTTCGACTTAAGATTATTACTAGTGTATATCTTGCTACTAACCTTATATCTAAAGTCAATAGCTACCGAGGAATACCCATTCTCAGTACTAAGTGCATTGCTCCTAGAGTGGCTAGTGATATAACCTAAGTGGTTAACCTAGCACTTGATAAGGGACAAGAATATTT